TCATGAGATTTGGATACTTGATGTCAACATGCTTGTAATTATTTATTTTGGACATATTAATGTAATATATTAGTGGTAAAAATAATTAATTTTAAATATTTATAAAATAATATATATAAATATCATGATGTGTCAACAATGATGTCAGTACCACGTAAGCTAAGTTAACGATAATATTAGCACCGTTAACTATATTGTCTTTAGTTTTACCACTTTTTAAAGTAGAGGGACTAAATTGAACAAAATAAAGGTACAAAGACAAAATTGAACAAAACACTATAGTATAGAACTTCATAGCTACTTTGACCAAAATTGTATTGATGAATTTTTAGACTTGGGATGTTTGATTTAAGAAATTTTAGATTACTTTAGGAATGTAAGAATGTATAATTCTAGTGGACTTGCTTGATTTGTATTTAGTTTAAATCATGAAAATGAAATATTAGATTACTTTAGAAATGTTGGATTTTAATGAATTACGTACTTTAGGAATGTTAGGTCCCGGTGAATATCAAATTCTAAGAATGTGCTAAATTTTTAAGGGAATGCAATATTTGTTGGTTGATGATTATATACTAATGGTTTTTTAAGATTAGGGTTAAAGTGTAAAATAAGTAAATTTGATTGAAAATATTAGAAAATCTATGTATTAGAAGAGAATCACATCCATCTCAAAATTTCATGTAGTGAAGGGTGAGCCACATGCCTAGAAGTATAAGGTGAACTAAACACGAATATATATATATATATATATATATATATATATATATATATATATATATATATATATATATCTGTTTGGTAAAATAGTTAGTCTATAGGCTAATTTTGATTTATTTGTCCACTATTAGTTGTTTGACTTGGTTTAAAAATCAATATAAGTGTTTGGTTAATTAACTTTTTGTACTCCAAAATGCTAAAATTTAAAAAACTACTTAAAACAACTTTTTTAATTAGTTTTTTAAGAAAAAAAAATTATACCAAATAGCTATTAGCTAACAGCTAATTTATCAAACAGCGTTCTACAATCAGCTAATGTTATCAACTAATTATACCCTCTAATTAACCCTATCAGCTAACAACTAACAACCATTTATCAAATAGGGCCATAATATTTCAAAGTTTATATGTTACCTTGGTAATGCTATATACACCTCAAACCAAACGTTTGTTTATTTAATGTAAAAATATCAAAACTAAGTAACCCAATTAATAAATGTCAAAAAAAAAAAAAAATGTAACCCATTAACAACTACATCTTATTAATTAACTCAAAATTTGATCAGTGCTCAACTCGATCTACATGTTATTAATATTTTTTTCTAGTGAGATTTACTTGCTCGTATTGACTGATATAGTATATTCATGTCTTGCCATGTTTTGTATAGTTTTTGAGTGTTGTGTTCTTGTCCATCCGTTGCTACTTATTGCCACTAGCAACAAAGAGAGAAGACCGACGACCAATTGTATAATAAATATATGTTGTTGTCTGGCACTAAAGATTGAAAGTGCATGCAGTTCACAGTGATGTGAATTAACATGGTGTTGTGCTTTATTCAACTTTATTACTCAATGAATTGAAGACTTTTAGAATTTATTTAGTCAATTCGAGGGGCCAATATTGAATTATATTCAATCATGTATATCTTTTCTCACGTTATCTTTCTTCCACGAAAATTACAATTATTATATCGTGGATAAGAGTTCACTTTGCATTGTATAATAAATCTTGATCCAAAAATTATGTGTTTGCAATTAATATATTATGTGTCTTTAATTAACAAAGTATGAAGTTAATTCCAGCGCAAGTCCCTTGTTTTTAGTAGAAATTTCAAATTTAGTCTCAGACAATTAATTTTGCCGTTTAACAACTCATACTATCATATTTTGGATACTTTTGGTCCTTCCGATGACTTTTTCAGGTGAAACCCTATTTTAGGCAATAACATTTTCGTCTTTTCAATTATTTTTTAATTTTAATGTTCCAATTTTTTGCGCCATTTTTTTCTTCTAATTTTTCGTCTTTTCAGCTATGGATTGCACAATCTCCTTCACCCAGCTCTTATCTTCATCTCCTTCAACAGCGACCCCAAATCGTTATTCGTCAATGGCGATACCGAGTACATGAGGACCTCTGGGTGCGGGGGAATTATTTTGTAATGCAGTTGGAAAGCTCTGGATGTCGCCATTCAATCGGTTTCAGTCTAACCGCTATTGTTTTAATTCATGATTACGGAATATTATTATGTGTCTACAGTTAACATATGTACTTATAGTTAACATATTATATGCATTTAATTTAATTATAGGCACATAATTTGTTAACTGTAAATACATAATTTGAATATCATTTTAAATTAGAATTCGCAACGTACGGTGCACCTTGAACCATGGTATAATTTCCCCGAAAACTATTGCGCATAAAAAACCATTGAAAGCACCATAGAATATAAATATGTACTGGAAAAAAAAATTGGTATTCATGGGTATCCTGCAGGTCCATTTATGTACCCTCATGCATGCGCACAATTACTAATTTTTTTGGGTATTTTTTTTTACTAAATATAATAATGTATGGTATTTGAGTTGTGTTTAGTAATGTTAGTGCTGTTCCCCACTCTATTTAATACAATTTAACATACTATACATAGTTATAATTGATACAAAATGCATTGGTGTCAATTTGAAATGATGGTATAAGCTCAATGGCTTAACGATGACGGTGTCTATGAAAATGGATTAATAATCTAGCCAATGAGATTATCAAATCAATTAAAACTAGCCGTTTGAAAAATTATTATCATCAAACTAGTCATTGAATTATTGTTGGGCGGCGGTGGCTCAGAGAGCTGAGTTTAGCATTCTGCTATCAAAATGTGTTACTAACTGTTAAGAAAGTATAATTAAATAAAATTGTGTCATCATTACTAGCTATATAAATATATATCTTGGCATAGTGGTAAGTGCTTGATCATGCTAGTCATTATAGACTAAGTGAAAGCATTACTCTTCATAATTCTCTATGAAGGGCTATTATCCTACAACTAGTAGTTGCGCCCGTGCGATGCACGGCCATATTATTATGCCGATATGTATAAAAAATTGTTTTATTCATTATATGGTCAATAAGGTTATAGATGTCACAAATACACAAAATAAAATATTTCATTGTAAAATAATGAAACAACAATTACAAATTATTAAAGATTTCTTTATAAACTACATTTTGAGTCTTATTTAAAAGACCTCTAGACTCGCCACATATTAAGACCTTAAGACCATCTGGATTACTGACCCGAGAAACTGCAACATACAATTGTCCATGGTTAAAAACTGGTTTTTTTCAGTAACAAACCAACATGTGAAAGCGTTTGACCTTGACTTTTGTTGATCGTCATTGCATATGATAACATCAGTGGGAACTGCTTTCGTTGAAACTTGAATGGAAGTCTTGGGTCTGAAGGAGTCAAAGATAGTCTCGGTATCAAAACCTTTGTACCTGCGTTATTCCCAGCTATAATTTTTCCCTCGATAACATGATTTCCCAACTGTGTTACTATTAACCTTGTACCATTGCACAACCCCATAGAGTGATCTATATTTCTCAACAGCATAACTGGAGTTCCAACTTTCAATGTTAGAGAGTGATTTGGTACACCCGAACACCTCAAGCTATTTAAAAATTCTGTTGTGTGTACTTGAGATTGCATATCAAAGTTTGACTCTGCCTTGCAAACAGAATCACAACTCAAGTATGTCATTGAAGCAACTTGATTAATACCATTCATGTATTCATTGACATCACCAACTACATCTAAGGTTGGAGCTAATATAGCTCTATTCTCCAGTTGACTTTCATCCATGTTCCCAGTACGGTACTCCGAAAATGTGCTTTCAACAATTTGCCTAATAGGATCAACCTCGTTTTCTAATACAATTGAAGACGGTATCATTATATTGCAATCAACACCATTGTCTTCACCAAGATTACAATCACCTAAATCCGCAATCCATTTGGCAAAACTATCTAACTTTTGAACATCATCTTCATTAGTAAGACCTTGCAATCTTAAATTCTTGGTTAGACGCAGAACTTCACAATTATTCCACAGGTAAGATGAATTAATACTGGCTTGAACAATATCTTGTCTAGTACCTTTTGGGATAACGGGTAAAATTTGTCTAAAGTCTCCACCCAACACCACGGTTTTCCCGTCAAATGTCATTGATAAGCTCCTTGAGTTCTTGAAACGCATTAAATCTCTCATTGTCCAGTCCAATGCTTCAAAACAATGTTTGTGCATCATCGGAGCTTCATCCCAAATTATTATTTTGCATTTGATTATCAATTCAGCAAGCGCACTGCCTTTCTTGATGTTGCAAGTGGAGTCCTCATTAACAGCAATTGGTATAGCAAACCTGGAATGTGCAGTCCTACCACCAGGCAGCAGCAATGAAGCTATACCGCTTGATGCTACATTTAGAACTACCTCGCCCTTGGACCGTACAGCTGCTGAAATAGTCTTCCACAAAAATGTTTTTCCTGTCCCACCATAACCATAAACGAAATACATTCCACCTTTCTCTGTTTCAACATCTGCCATCACCTTATTGTATATGACTAACTGTTCATCGGTTAGTTTCGGATGCAACGAATTATGTTGATGCAATAGAGCTTCCCTATCATATGACATCTCCTTGAACAACAACCTGTTACCGGAAAACAAATCGTTGTTTTCATCTAGCATTGGCATAGGTGGATAATCTGATAGAGATTTGTTCCAAGCATTCAACAACTTCTCCATTTCAATCAAAGCAATTTTTTTTTTTTTTTGAGATTCATTTAGACTTAAATCTACAATAGAAGAAGAAAAAAACGTAAGATGTAATGCTTTAAAGAATGGATATGAATAATTAATAATATAACAATAAATGTTACCTGAGAGGTTCCTTCTACAAATATATTGAGCATCATCTGATAAGTATTGCCAAACCATCTCTCAAACATTTTCTGGCTTGGACATTGAATTGGATGTCAGAAGTGTAACAAACAACTTACGTAGCGAATGGGGTAAAGACCAAGATGCTGCCTCAGTGATTGCATCAACATACTCTTTATCATCTTCGATTAATCTGCATGCATAACATGCATCTCTAAATGAATTGTATTGAACACCATCTACTTGTTTAATCTCATCAAATGAAGTCGGTCCACGAACTATATTAAGTAAACATCTAAGATAAAAAATCTCACCAGTATTTGGTGGCACATAAAAGATTCGACCAATTGCCCAATTTCTCTGCCTAGGTTGCCATTCTCTTTTATCATTTTTCCAAACAAATTTGGTTGGCATCTGTGAGTAAGTCAACTGCCTCCCTGCAGCGTACTTTTTATTAGCCTCAAACCAGGCAGTAAACATGCTTTGAGCTACTGTCGGTCTATTTACAACATCATTGACCAAATCGTTGTCATGAAATATTATTGATTGCTCATTGGGGAGATGAAAACTCAACCGCTCAACCGATGGATTCCTGAATTGTATGTCAAACGCAAAAATCCTCCACGCGACCTCAGGGGGTGAAATATATCTACAGTCATAGTACATCTTGATTTCATCTATAATCTTTCCAGTAGATTCTTCCACCCCACTGTTGTAGAATTCAGCTGTGACCCTATCATTACCCTTGTTGACGTACTTGAATAAGTTCTTTATTGACCTAGAGTGGTTGCACCACCCCACATTAATATGAGCCCTGTACTTCATAAGCAAATGTCTATTGTGTGGAACAACATATCTACTATCAAGGTCAATCCCATTCCTCCAAACTGTACGACCATTATCTCTACGCCGATATATTGGATATCCATCAAAATCCACTATTGAGTTTTCCACAAATTTTTTGGGGAAGAATTTAGAACACATACCATTTATCATGCAAGGTGAATTCTTCCTAACTGCACCACATGGACCGTGAATCATAAATTCTGCTACAGCTTGATAATACTCAGGTTCGCACAGTGGACTTGGAATCTCGACAGATATGATCCGGTCAATATCTTTAGGATTAGGGTAAGGGTTACTCTTGCTCAAGAATATCAAAATGTGAGCATGTGGCAGTCCCCTTTTTTGAAATTCAATGGTGTAAATTACTGCAAGAAACAAACAATATGCACTTGGATCTTTAAAATCGTTGAAAAATTTAAAAGATATGTAACAACCAAAAATAATCAAATATATTGATGAAATGAAATAAATTACCTGCATCTACCACTCCAAAAATTCTCTCTTTCTGAATGTCTTTAATTAGTGCATTTAATTTCATTCTAAACACACGACATACTATATCTGGCCTATCTTCAGCTTTGAGTTTCCTTGGTTGTAAAAATCTTTCAATCTCGGGCCACTTAGGATTACATGTGAATGTAATAAATAGACTTGGATACCCGATCCATCTACAAATAGCCATTGCATCTTGGTAATTCTGCACCATATATCTTGCACCTCCGGTAAAACTCGATGGCAAAATTATGTGTTTTCCTTGGGCAGTAGGATCTACTTCGCCACATGTTAACGCATCTGTCAAACATTTGTATGATTCACATCGAAGTGACTTTTGATGAGACCTAATATAAACCAAGCGTCCTGATTCTATCATGGTATAAGCATCAACCAAATATTGTTAGAACAATCGCCTAGCATAAAGCAATGTTGACATTTCATTGAACCTATCTTGCAAACGGAATGAGAAATACTCCCTGGGACTAAGTTTACTCCTTGCATTTGAACTCCTGCCTTCAAGAGTAGTAAATTGTATGTCATCTCTGTATCCGTCTTCACCATAAGAAAAGAGTAGTGGGTACTGCAATGGGAGATATGCCGGATTTAATTCAGTTATTCTTTGAAAATGTCCAGCTTTGGACTCCACCAATATATCTCTTTCTCCCATGTTTGGGTCTAAATCACCAACAATCAATGCAGCCACCTCCCCAACCTGTGGCAAGTTATATGTCCTTGCATCCTTGGTCCTCTTACCGATGAGTTTGATTTTAATATCAGCTCTATGGTTACTTTCCATCTCTGTTTTGGCCATTCTAAAACTCTGAACCAAAACATTATTTTCATCCAGTGCATCTTTAATGTCTTTAACAATTTCACGATGGATTGTAATGTTTGACTCATCTTCCCTGTTTGGAATATAAAAACCCATACAATTTTATAATCTATATTGTTACAAAAATGATGTTAATGTATTTAAAATAAATAAAAGTACATAACTTACCCAAGTGCAGTTATACGATTTGTGATCTCGTTTTGAGTGTCATAAATATACAATTGAGCAAACTTTGGTCTCTCGCCAGATTGTGGGAGCAAACTACCCATCAAGTGAAAATTTTGACCATGTAACCTAAAAGTCGGTGGTGCACTACCATTGTTGACCGTTCTGTAAATTTTTCCACCCATGGAAGTAAAGCAAAACATATTGTTAAAGCACCGAATGTTCTTTAGGAAATGGTTACTCTTTTGATCTTGGTTAAAGAACAACTGCCTGATTGCCATAGGTGGAATATTAGGATGCGGCAACTTTATCTTTCCATGACCGCAACATAGTGAATATTTCGGATTCCGAACACCGCTAGATTTATTTACTCGCTCCTCTAACCAAAACATAGCTCCACAATGATTGCATGAGTACGTTTGATCACCAATATCACTGTAATAATCTAGAAGAAAACAAATGTTATAACTCTTACCTAAACAAAAATAATAAAGGTTATTACTCGTACCTATACTCACCATTAACATTTGCCGAGTTTGACGGTGTATCATGGACCACACTATCAAAAGCGGACAACAAATTAAATTGCATTGACGCCTTTGGTGTTGAGCTATTGTCATCCACAACGCACGATCTTGTTGTTTGAACTATAAGATGATAAAAAACGTTATTATTTATAAACTAAACACTATACATTCATATTTTTAAAAAGGATTTACTTAATTGCGCAACTTTACCATTTGTTAGATTTGTCAAAGGCCCTTGCCTTTTGTTAGACACCATAGGGGTAGTTTCGAGCATGTTAGATTGCAATGTCATTGATTGAGTAATATTTTGTAAAACTATTTGATAGGAATATTTTTTGTAAGTTTCGATGAAGCCAAATGTACTTTAGATACACTTAGTTTTTAGGTCTTTGAGTACAAGCATCATAAATCAGAATAGCGAATCAAAAGGAATCTACCATAGGAAGAACAAAATTAATTTGAGAAATTAATTTTGGTCCTACGAGTATTCATCCGAGAAAGAAGCATAAAGGAATGGCGTTGCAAAGAATGACCGGATGAGCCTAACGATGAAATGGTAGAAGTCCTTACTTAAAACGATTACACCTGAGATTGATTCCCCCAAAGACTTATTTTTTACTAGTCAAATTTTCGGACAAGCACAATGTCCAAAAGAGCACGATGTTCACCAAGGAGCACAATGCTATCAAAAGAGCACAATGTATTAAAAAAAGCACGATGTGCTAAAGAGCACGATGTGTGCTGACAAGCACAATGTGTGCTAAAGAGCACAATGTTCAAAAGGAGCACAATGTATCAAAAGGAGCACAATGTATCTAAAGGAGCACAATGTTCTACAGGAGCACAATGTGAACAAGCACGATGTGTCCAAAAGAGCACAATGTGACCAAATCAGAAAAGCACAATGTTCAAGTCAAAGGAGCACGATGTTCAAAGTCAAAGGAGCACAATGTGGCAAAGAAGCAAGATGATCAGAAATTGGATCAATTCGAAGGAATTTATTCCAAGTCTACCCACATGCCACAAGAATCCAAAATTGCCTGAAAGACATTTGATCAGAACGGAAAAATATTTATGAAGACATGAATATAAAAACTTATCCTAGAAATAAATTCTATCAGATGAATTTATTTCAAAGATACGTTGGATATTCAATATGACAACAAAATAATATTTTGAACAAATCAATTGGAGATAAGATATTATTTTGTCAGGCAAGTTGACAATCAAATCAAAATTGAAGACCTACTATTGTCAACAATATCAGGCTATGAAGATTCAAATTTCAAATATCAAATTATCCCACTCCAACGGATATATTTGATTGCCTATAAAAAGCCATGAAGACTTGAAGACAAAAAAGGGGGTGTGTGGAGCAGAGGTGAACAAGATAGACACGAGATAGAAGTGCAATACACACGAAAATACAAAAAGTGCAAGTGCTCAAATATTCTTAGAGACTTAGTCTGAATAGTCTCAAATCTAGTTGGAGAGAGATACAATTACCTTTGTATTTGTAATTGTAAAAAGAGTATAGCTGTGTGCAAAATACTCTAGTGAGTGTAGCTGTGTGCAAAACACTCGTAGTTGCTAAGTGTAGCTGTGTGCAAGACACTTAGTTGGCGTTGAGTATAGCTGTGTGCGAGATACTCGGAGTTGAGTGTAGCTGTGTGCGAGACACTCGGAGTTGGGTGTAGCTGTGTGCAAGACATCCGGAAGAAGTGCTTGTGTAGCGCTTATTCACTATTGTAACTGTGTGTGGAAAAATAGTGAATTTCTCCTAGACGCGAAAGGAGACAAGTGGACTAGGAAGGTTACGCCACTTCCGAACCACTATAAATTGCCTCTCTCATTTACATACCGCACTTACATAATTTACTCTATCTATCTATCTTATCCGACTAACCCGTTTACTATTCACAATCAATCTTAATCGTTCGGGTTTAGTGTGTTTTCACGTATGCATGTGATTCAAACTTCTCAAGCTTAAATATTGAATTATTCTAAGCAAGTTTGACGTGTTGCATGTAACATTCATCACATGGTCGACGTGATACGATATTTATTTACAATCTTGAATATTGTTACTATATATTGAGTGAACCATCTCCTTTATATATTCAAGATCCCTCTGTCACTTTATTCATCTTACATGCGTATTTAATTCATTAATTGAGCATAACTCTTTACATACTACCTTTTCCGCTGTGCAGTTTAAACTTATTCTATTTACTTGCTACTTAGAGTTGAGGTTACCAAAAAGTTATTTAAATTGTGAAAAAGTTTAGAAAGTCTATTCACCCCCCCCCTCTAGACTTTCTACCACCCTATCGGGACCAACAATTGGTATCAGAGCAGTTGTCTATTTGAGTTAATCTTGACTGCTAGACAGATCTCGAAAAATCAAGATGATGAAAAGAGATATGGCTCTTGCCCAAAATATATTATTTTCCTTAGAGAAATTTGATGATTGGAAAATTCGCATGCAGGTACATTTATCCGCATTACATGATGAAATGTGGGAAGTGGTTACAAGTGGTCCTATTGAGATTTTGCAAGTCAACACCTTATCCGTACAAACAAGTGACACTCCACAATACATTCCAAAACCGAAAGCGGAATGGTCTCGTGAAGATAGAACAAGAAATAACTTGGACAATATTGCCAAGGATATTTTGTTTAAATCTATCGATGACACGATATTTCCAAAAGTTCGAAAGTGTCAATCCGCGAAGGAAGTTTGGGAAACGCTCATTCAAATTGGTGAAGGAGACGAGCAAGAAAAAGATAATAAGCTCACTATAGCATTAAAGAAATTCGAGGATTTCAAAATGCTAAACGGCGAGAATATTACCGACATGGAAACAAGATTTGTCAAAATCTTAGGAGAGATTAATGATCTTGGAAAAGATATTAATCAAAAAGAAATTTCACTCAAAATTCTACGTGGTCTACCATCTACATAGGACATGAAGGTCACAGCCATGAGAGATCATAGGGATTTAAAAACCCTATCGACCGATAAGCTCTTTAGTGATTTAAAAGCTTATGAATTTGAGATGAAATCAAGATTAGAGGAAGATCATGAAGAAAAGAACAATGCACTTATAGCCGAGCAACCATCAACCTCAAGGTCAGTACAAAATGTTGAATTATTGTCTAATGATCAATTTGCTCTCTTTGTCAAGAAATTTAGGAAATTCATGAAGAGAAGCAACTACAAGAAAAATCCACAAGGGAAATCGTGGAATGCAACAAAGAATTCGAAGAAAGAAATTATTGAGGAAGAGTCGAATTTATGCTACAATTGTAGAAAGCCTGGACACTTTGCAGCAAGTTGTCCACACCCTAAGGTAAGTAAAAGTCAATATACAAATGTTTCTAACTCTCAACAGGAAGAATTCAACCCCAAAGATAAAAGGTTCACAAAGGAGAGAAGAAAAGCACTTATTAGTGACCCACTTGAAATAAGTGAGTCAGAAGAATCTTCAAGTGATAAAAGTGACACCTCAAAGGATGACAATGCAATGTTTTGCATGAGCATCTCCAACAACTCACCCTACGAGGACATGTGTCTTATGGCAAATGGAAATGAAGAAAATGAGGTAACATCTCACTCTTATGATTCTGTCAATTCTTCATTTTCTAGAGAGTCCTTCTTTCACTTAATGGAAGAATGTCAAACCGTAATGGACACTCACTCTCAACTCAAAGAGCGCAATTGTCTTTTGATTCTCGAAAAAGATCAAATAAATGAGAAATTGCAAAATGCTCTACTTGAAGTGAAAGACTTGAAAGGTAAAATTATTTGTCTTCAGAAGAGTGTAAATCAAGGGAAGTGAGAGAACACAA